TCGGCCTGACTTTGACTAATTTGTGATAACTGCATAGGATTGGACAGACGTAATATATATTCATGTTAACGGTAGAAGCAGCGTGATGATAATAATAAATTAGCCAGCTCGATCTACATTAATTCTCATCATAATGCAACAGATTAATGACGGCGACACACAGTGCCATAAGCCACAACTAATTATACGCTATACTAATTGCTCAACCTGATGTGGTGACGGACAAGAGAAGCCTTTGGAACAATACAGCAGAAATCAGGGGAAAATATAGAAGGATTTATGTTGTTTCTGTATAGTTACAAATATAGAAGAACGAGAGTTTAAAAAAATGATGCTGAGTTTGGAGTACAGTGCGTTATTTGCTGTAAGAAACTACGTATTCTCTGATTTATGCTCACTTATGTGAGCCAAATTACGTTTAAAGAACGTTAATATATTTCTTGTATTTTCACAAGTATTATCCGTGCGGAGTATTTTTCTGTTTTGATAAGATCCGTAGATCGTAAATAAATACACATCTTATATTACGGGTTAATATATTTGTATTTCAATCTTTTTAAAGAGGATTTTAGGATATGAATGGTCTATCGAATTAATCTTGGGGCCCGAATGGGTCTATTTCGAAGTGATGGCGGACCACAGACACCCCCGAGAACATCTGCGAATACGAAACTACACAAAAATGTCATTATATAAAATTAATTGTGACACAATAACCTAAAATTTAATGAATGTTTTCGAGTGTTAAAGACACGCATTAAACTGAGTTTGTAGTGGACGCATGACTCGCTCCAAATTGTTGGTCCATGGTAAATTAAATTATCAGATGGCTGTGTTAAGGAACAAATATGAATATCCCTTAAAAATATTTTTAAATACTGTAATGATGTATGCTATAACAATATTTTCTCTTTATTATGTACAAGGAAGTTGCCTTGTTAATAATTATTATCTAGACTTATGTGAATGTCTTGCAGACCGACAAACACACATCTCCATTTTGTGTTAGTTTTATATATTATATTTGAAAACACATATTTCTAAGATTTTTATTTAAGCTCGTCTCTGCTAACATACATTTTCTGTAATAAGATCCAGTTGTGGGTACCCCGGTCTCTAAATTCATAAGGTTTATACGTTAATTTCCATGGGGATCTCATAGAAGACTCATTTATGTAGCTTACAGCTTTTAATTCTCAAGTATATTCATATGTTTAAAACCTTGTAAGCTTATATTTATTTGTGTATGTCTCAAGGCCACGCGATGTCTAAATTCATGTTACGTTAATTCAAATTACTCTAACAATTACAGAGACATGGAAACAACATAATGAACACAGATAACGAAATAGGAACTCAGGAAATGCTTGTTACCAGCCAGTTGCAAAATACATATTTTTCCGCCTGCTAAGGATAGAATTACGAAAGAAACAGTGTTGTTGGTTATTTTTTATAATTGTGAAACGTGGGCTTTAACCCTCAGGAAACAAAATCAATTAAAATAGAGTGGACGCAGCGTAGGAGTACTTATAAAAATATCTTTACGTAGGATGGAGAAAGTGGGCTAGCAACTCTTCTATCTTTCGTTTCCCTCTAGCTACTTGATGCCGTCACAGTGGCCGCCGCGCGATCTGAGGCGCGGGCCTTGTGCCGCTTCGTCACTGGGACCGTGGGTTCGAATCTCACTCAAGGCATGGATGTTTGTCCGTGTCTTCCTGCGTTGTGCTGTCCTGTGTACAGGTAGAGGCCTTGCGACGGGCCGATCCCTCGTCCAAGGAGTCCTACCGAATGTCTATAGATCAAGCCAACGAAAGTTGGGACCCGCAGTGCTCAGGCACTGAAGAACGGGACGTCTAAGTAAGTATATAGCTTCTTGATAGTTCTGGTTGACCATTACATTTCTTGCACCCGGTCAGTCTCAGTAGGAAAGCCAATTACGACTGATTCTGTTTCCGATGTACCAACGGGAAATTTCTGACAATTTTAATTATTTCACATGCCCCTATGTATCACTTTTAATTGCGGTTATCCAGTGAGGATGATTATGACGTCTGTAATAATTTAATAACCAATATCCTGAAGGCGTTTTATATCATATATACATGTATACTCTCAGCAGTGATCAGATATGGAAATAGTGGTCTTCTGAGTTGTGACGCCAAAAGAATTTGTAGGTGGGTAGCAACGTTTGCAGGTACATACTGCTTCCATTTTCAGGGCTAAAGTCTGATATTAAATACATGTATTTGTGAAAGTATCCCAATTCAATCTGTGGCTAGCTCTGGGTGAAATAGTTGTTGATCCTTCGAATTCTTATACCAGGAAATTAGGTAATTAACAACAGCATTAAATTTTCTGGGTCAGTTTGGCACTAGGAATTAGAATAAGTCTGTTTATTATAATTTAAATTAGTTATGAAACGATTTATATGAATTATGCTTTATTTTTAGAATTTTTGACGTTTAAATTACATATTAGTGTACACTGGAAGATACTTGTAAACACATGTTTTATGTAAAAGATGTGTGTCGTCATACCAGTATACGATAGATTATAACTTGAGTTTAAGGATCATAAAGCCACTTTAAAACATAGATTTGACGTCATAAGGACACGTTGATAGTGGCAGATTACGTCTGATTTTAGTAATTAAGTAGCATGACGATCACTGAATCTTATTGTCTGAGACATCTAAACTGCCTAATCTTATAAGACCGTCGGAATCAAAACTGTCGAGGTTTTCTTCATCGTAGATAAAAATAAATGGTAAATTTGTGTTTAAAAAGCGGGCGAGATTAGCAAACTTGATGCTACCAGCAATCTCAGTTTTTTTCACTGGCATTTCCTTGAGGGTCTTAAAGGCCGGAGTCTTAAGCAGCATTGCGGGATGAGCCACTACAGCGTTCTTATCCGCCCCGTTCTTGATCTTGTCGTGGAGGAAGCGGGTGGAAGGGTTTTCTGCCAAGGAAGAGAGGCCGCGTTCTAGAATGTAGGCCTCAAGGTCTGTAGCCTCGGGAGAGCTCTTCATCACCAGGACGGCTGGTTCATGGAGTACATCTCGAAGACTCGCGTGCTGGTTACGGAGGTGATTATTCGAGAACTGGAAGTCATTGAAACTCTTGAAGGAAAGAAGTTCTGGAGTCAGTGGGAGATTGAACATGTGTGTCTGTGGGTAAGAGGATCGAAGTTCCAGGAATGGAGAGAAATTGTTTCGGATGGAATTTCCTTCTAGAAGACCTGTGAAGTGATTGTAGCA